GAAGATGCCCTTGAGAATCTTCATGGCGGGGGAAAGTGGAGCTCGGGGTTGGAGCTTCACCAAGTGTGGCTAGAAGGGAGGGAGGGAAGGAAGGCAGCAGCAGATGGGGAGATAAATGGACACGGCCTTTCAGACTTCAGGGAACCAGTTTTCAGTGAACATCATCATAGGGTACAGAGTGCAAATCACAGATCAGAAAAGAGATAGCAAGCCTGGAAAAAGTGAGTCATGGGGAGAGGAAAGAAAACGTCACTCATCTAAAGAGGAAAAGAATAACCAAGAGGCAGCACGATACAGTGCAAAGATCTCCATCCGAGGCTTATGAACAGAATCCTCTGGAAGTCTATTAACATCACCAGTGCCCACCACCTCACTACACTCTCCACCCTCCATTCCCCCAGCCCCACTGTGACTCTGGCTCTGGAGGTCTTGAGCCGGCACATGGTGGAAATAGGCCACACTTTGGAATTTGACTGCTGCCTCCCACTACTTCACAGCTGTATGACTCTGGACAAGTCACCTAATTTTCTGCATCTCAATTTCCTCCTCTGTGAAACAGGAAAACCTACTCATAGGGCTATTAGTAAGAGTTAATGAAGTAGGCAGATAAAGTACACGCCACAGAGTAGGCTCCTTATTAATATACATTGCCCTTCCCCTTCTCTAATGGTGCATGTCACTCTCAAGAATGTATTTTCTCTTTCCATCAGGCCATAATGCAAGAGAAGACACAACAGGGGATTTTGAATAGAAAACAAGAACCATTTCCCATAATAAATGTGTATGAAAGATGACACCTTAAATAGAGCACTGCGGGCCAGCCCAGTGGTGCAAGCGGTTAAGGGCAGCCCATGGTTCGCAGGTTCGGATCCCCGGTGCGCGCCGACACACCGCTTGTCAAGCTGTGCTGTGGCAGCGTCCCATATAAAGTGGAGGAAGATGGGCACGGATGTTACCTCAGGGCCAATCTTCCTCAGTAAAAAAAAAGAGAGAGAGAGAGGAGGATTGGCATAGGATGTTAGCTCAGGGTTGATCTTCCTCACAAAAAACAAAATACAGTGCTGGTTATAAGGGTTAAATCTACCATAGAGGCAGCTATACTCATAATAGCCAAAAAATGGAAACAATCCAAATGTCCACTGACACTTGCCTAGATAAATCAATTGTGGTATTCATTAAATATCTGTACAGCAATAAAGAATATCCAACTGCTGATACACACAGCAACACAGATGTCAACAGACATACTAAGCAAAGCCAGACACAAAACAGCACACATCCTATGACTCTGTTCAAATGAAATTCATATGCAGACAAACTAATTGATGGTGACAGAAGTCAGAAGAGTGGTTACATTTCAGAGGCTTTTGACTGGGAAGGGGCACAAAAGAGCCTTCTAGAGTGCTGGAAATGTTCTATATCTTGATTTCTTGGGTAGTTACTTGGGTTTATACATATGTAAAATTCAGCGGGGTATGCACTAAGATTGTGCACTTTCTTGTATGTATGTTATACTCCGACGGGGGGCAGGGGTAGGGACCTGCCACAGAAGTCTGCAAGAATGTCTTGTCACATTGTCCTGAAACCCAAAATACCAAACCTGAAGTTGTGCAAATGGTTCAAAAGTCTTTTTGACCAAAAGTGTAGAAATTGAGAGCAAAAAAAGTATTTAAACCTAGCCTGGGAGGAAATCAAACAGGAATAATAGGTAAGACAGTGAGGAAAGTGTTTCACTGTAGTTTTCTTAATAGCGCTCTAACATTTTTGACATTTTGTGCTCTAACATGCTAACATTTTGATAGGAGTGGACTATGTACACTCGACAGTCTTTGCATCTCTGCTATTACGTACTTCTGTAATCTCACTTCTTAAATTCTTTGCTTGCAATTATATTGAGCTGCTGCCAGGTCAAAAGTGGTACCGTTGTGACATTCTCTGCAGTGTTCTAGGGCTGGGGCCCACAGAGGCAAAACACAACTAAAAACTCAGACCTACTGAGGTAGACCACCCATGTTCGGCCCTTTGAATACTCTTCTCACATATGGAGAATTTCACATGTTATGGGTGCCTCTTCCCCAAGGGACAAGCCAAAAAATTCACTTGCCCACTTTCTCTTGGAGCTGGAGTGCAGGCATGTGAGCTAGGATCCACCAATCAGAAGTGAAATGAAGACAACTTTAATTCTAAGTAGAGAAAAGTGGAGAAGCAGGCACCATGCAGAATGAATCCATTTTTGGCAAGGGTGGCTGTAGAAGCTGCCAGCTTTCAGGGGCAGCAGTAGTGGGGTTTGGGCAGCAGAGGTGCAATCTGAGATGCTTGAGTCCAGCCGCAGTAGCAGGGGCATCTTCACGGTAGCAGTGGCCAATGTTCTGGAGCATGAATTCTCTGGTTCTGCCAATGTTTCCATGAGCTACGCAATGTCCTATAATAAATTCCTTCCTGCTTAAACTGGCTAAAGGGAGTTCTGTTGTTTGCACTAAGATCCTTGAATGAATTATCCACTGCATCAGCTCATGTTCTCCAGAGAAACAGAACCAATAAGATATATATATCTGTATGTATGTATGTATATGGGAGACATATGTATATATACATATATATGGCTTTATTTTTAGGAATTGCCACACACAATTGTCAGGATTGGCAAGACTGAAATCCATGGGGCAGGCTGGTACGCTGGAAACTCAGGCAGGAGTTGATGCTGCGGTCTTGAAGCAGAATTTCTTCTCCTCTGGGAAACCTGTTTTTGTTCTTAAGGCCTCCAACTGATCGGATGAGACCCACCCACGTTATCAACAGTAATCTCTTTTTCCTAAAGTGAACTGATTGTAGATGTTAACAATGTCTGCAAAATACTTTCACAGCCACACCTAGACTCGTGTTGATTAAATAACTGGGTACTGTAACCCAGCCAAGTTGACACATAAAACTAACCAACACATCCAACCAAATCAAAATTCCTGGAATGACCATTCACATTATGAGCATTAAGATCCTTCACTCTGAAGGAGACTTCTTGGTGCGTTTGACATAAGTTTCCATTTGCAAAAAAATCATATACAGTTGTTCATACAAAAGAAAGTCCACCTAATCTAGGCACCTGCATTGAAGAGAAGACTATCCCTGGAATCCAGGCCATCCTCCCACCCCTACAGCCCTTCACCTGGCCCCAGCTGCCATCATCTCTCAGCTGGACCACAGCCACTCCCCCCTCATCCTTCTGCCAGTCTCCAGCCCTTTCTGCTCTAGTCTGTTGTCCATCCTACACAAGGGTGCTCCTTATGAAACACTAGCCTGAGTGTGTCTCCACTGATTAAAATTCCCTCCAGAACCACTACACTGCTTCTGTCTCCTCAGGCCAGCAGCCGTTATGGTTTGGTACAAGCAACAAATGCAACTCTGACTGATTTAAGTGAAAGAGGAATTCATGGAGCAGTCCCCAGGATGGAAGGAAAAGCTAAGGTCTTGAGAAATCCAGGCTTCCCTAGTGATCTTTGAAGCAGGAACTAATGGACCGTCTTTTCACAGCCCAGCTGTGGGGATGAATCAGAGTCAGTCCTCTTGATCTCCATGCAACTCCCCTCAGGGGCCAATTTATAAGGAGTGGGTGTCTGATTGGCTGGGATTGATTCACAGACCCACCCCTTGGTCACAAGAGGGCCCGTGATGGAACCACCAAGACTGAAATTAACCAGAGAGGGGGAGGAGTCTCAGGCAAAGTAGGGGAATTAGAGGCAGAGGGGAAATAGATACTAGGCAAGCATGACAAGACATAGCCACACCAGGCCCACCTCCGCACCTGAAGGATCCCTCAACATCAGAACAACTCAGGGAGCAGGACGGATTCCATTGTTTGCATTCAACAGGGCCAGCAGGGAGCGGTAAAAGCAGTCCCCAACCAGCTAAGGAGAAACAAGGGCTTTCTGGACAGTAAGACTAGACGCCCAACCCCAGGGACCCTCAGCCTGGACCCCAATTTCCCCTACTGTTTCTAGGCCATTGTTCTCCCCAGGAACTCTATGCCCACAGTGGGGAGCATAAGAGATCTTTCCTAGCCTCCTACCTTACCCTCTGACAGCTCCTCTCTCTTTGCTGGCTATGAGAGTCTGTGTGGCTGGGGAAAGGGTCTCAGGGCTTGGGAACCAAGCAGGGGAGGGCAGAACAGAGAGAGTTAGAAGGGAGAGCACACTCACCTTGCATTTCTCTGATTTCATTGTTTTCTTGTTTATCGTCTACTCTACCCGCACTGGAATGTGAGCTCCGTACAGGCAGAAGACTCGTCTGTCTTGATCGCTCACTGCCATAGCCCCAAGCCTGTGACAGTAACTGGTATGTAGCAAGCAGTTGGGAAAGTAAATATTTGTGACTGAACAATTAGAATGCAAGTCAGGTGGAGGCTACACCCCACCTGCTGCCTTTGGCTCTGAGCCAGACAGGCAAGATTGGGCCTGGAACTGAGTCAAACCATGAAGCAAGAGGAAGCCAGATGGGGGGAAGGGCACAGCTGTAGACAGCCAGACCTGGTCCCAACCTGCCTCTCGCATCTGTGAGGCATGTCACTTCACCACCGTGAGCCTCAATTTCCTCGGTTTTGAAATGGGGATCACACCACATACTTCACACTGTTGGGGTGAGAATAAGTGAGAATTAAATGTGAAAATTGGCACACAGTAAGTGCTCTCCTCCCCAGATACCCTTCATCTCTGTTGTATGCTCTGCAAGGGAGGAAGTTGTTCTAATCAGATGGTGGGAACTGAATGCTACATCTCCTGGACCTGGGGAGTTGTGTGTTTTAGGAGAGAAGCCTGGAAAAGGTAATGTCGAACCCACAGGGGAAATGAAACATCAGTGGAGGAATATCTAGGCAATGACAAGCCCCAGGGATCTCAGTGGAAAGTCTCATGCTGCAACCTCTAGCACATCTAGCTTGTGGCTAGGAGAAATGTCACTTCAGTGTTGCCTCTGCTTCTGGGGAAGGGATCAAAAGATATACATAGCAGGCAATTTGGAAAAAGACTTTTATTAGTTTCATGAGAAACAGCTGCCATGAGTGAAGACCTGGATGGGGATAGATCTCTGGCGGCTTCCAACCAATGGCCTGGAAAAAGCCCACCTGTTCCCTGTATATCCTCGGACGAGGGTCTAAGTTGAGGTCCCGAGAAGAACGCCCCACCTCCTTGCTCCCTCAGTGCTGGCACAGATTCAGGCCACGCATTCTCGTTAGACATGAGATTCTCCTGCTCCATGGATATCTCACTGAACAGGAAAATGAATCAAATCAACATTCTAGACCGTCAGATCAGGATCGATCTGGCATACCAGCCACTGTTCTGGATCAGCAACCAGGAACACAACATTCTGAATCACTAATCAGCAAGTCACCATTCTAGAGGGCCACCCAGAATTCTAAAAGCAAAATGAGAACCCCCTAACTTTCTAGGCGATTTCATCAGGAGCTTCACATTTTAGAATGCCTGTATTCCCAAATCAACCAGAAATTGGACATTCTACACTGTCAACCAGGAACCCAGTGTTCTGGCATGCCAAATGAGAACCACTCCTAACATTCCAGATGGTTAACCAGGAATTCAGCCTTCCAGTATGACAAACAAGGCCACAATGTTCCAGATAATGGGTGAGAGATGCAAAGTTCTAAGCGTCAACCCTGATACTCTCGACGCCAAACCAGGAATCCAACATTTAAGACTATCAACCCTGGCCTCAGCATTCTGCAATGACAAGCACAAAGTTCTACCCTCCAGAATGCTGCTGCCTGGCCCCCTCAGAGCTCTCCGGATGGCCGCTCCACACCGGGTCCATCATCCTTGGGGGGCTTGGGAATGCGGAAGGAAACATAGGGACAAGTGTTGGTGTTGAGGCAGACCAGCCTCTTCAGCGTGGCCGTCTTGACAATGTTGAAGCCCATCTCGCCACCAAATGTGCTCGGCTTCCAGTACTCCGGAGAACAGATGGGATTCCCTAGGAGGCCTTTGAGGGAAAAGGGAGCCCCAATTTCTATCATACTCTCCCCAAAGATGGAGTTTGGATGGCACTTCTCAAGAAGCAGCCCCGGGTAGAACTCCAAGGCATCGATGTCTCCATATAGCTCCTCCAACTCAGCAGCCATCTCCTTCTCTCCTACAAGGGGGAGAAGCTAGAGTCAGAATTAGGATGCCATCCATTAAGGTTAATCTGGGGAGGGAATCTTCTAGGTCCACTTTTTTCTGGAGCGAATAAGGGACTTCAGAAGAGCAACCTGAGCGCTGAGCACATCTCCTAAAATCTGGCCTAGCTGATTGAGCCTTCTCCAGGGCTGCATCTAGGGAAGGAATTTGCTACTGAAGAAGGAGTCAAGGCCTAGATCTGCCACCAAACAGCATGAGACCTTGAGCAACTTGTCTCACTTCTCTGTGCCCTAACTACCTGATCATTACAACCAGGAGAAGCTACCCATCTTGTTTCCTTCACAGGCACATTTCAAGGCCTTATCGTGGTCCAACCTTTGCATTCTACTAGAGCTCAGAGATGTAATGTAGCTTGTCCAAGCTCACACAGAGATTTAGCGACAATGTTCTTTCTGCCCCTCTGGGCTGTCACGGGAGACAGACATTGAGCTTCCCTACCCATTTCCTCAAATCCACCTCCGTAGGGCACTCATACATAGTTATGAGTCATGCCATGCCCTGGTCAAAACAGTTCAGTGGTTCCCCATTGTCTGTGACAAGTGCTCCCCAACTTGGCTGCCCAACAGCTGGGCATCTTGAACAACAACAACAAATATATATATACACACACACACACAAATGTATATACATATATATATACATACATACGTATATGTATATGTATACAAAAATATATATATACACATATACATAAGTACATGCATATACACACATGTATACATATACACATACATACAGATTCTTGGGCACCACCCAGGCCTAATGAATCAGAATCTCTGGGAGAGACATCTAGGATTTGGTATTTTTAATCAGTTTTCTAAGTGATTCTTAGGTAGCTGGCCCATAAATGGGTGTTTAGGAACCACTAGACAGAATAAAACCCAAAATCTTTAGCATGGAATCCAAGATACAATTTGGTCCCAACCTCCCATCACTACCCCCTCCAAATAAGCCCTTTGCTCCAGCCACACCTGCGACTGTTCTCCTGATTAGGCTTATTCTGTACAACCTCTGTGCCTTTGTACTTTCTGATTCTCTACCTAGAAGGCTCTTCTCTGTATTCTTCACCTGGAAAATGCCTATTTATCCTTCAAACTCAGCTGAGAAGCCACTTTCTCTCCCCCAAGCAGGGTTATTTGCCATTTCTCGCCACCCCCGGCGTGGTGCTCCCACACCCCTTATAATCCCACGGTCACAGTGCTGACCACATGTATTGCCCCATTTCTGTTTCCTTGATGTCTTCCTCACTTGATTGCGAGTCCCGCGAGGGCAGGAAACAACTGCTCACCTGTGAGTTCCTGGAAGGAGGTGTAGGGCTTCATGCCAAACCTCTTGCGGTACTCGTTGAACGGCCGCAGGCGCAGTTCACGGGATTCCTTGATGACGTCCACAGCCACATGCAGGACGTGGTAGTCCATGTTCCTACCTCCACCGATCTGCCAAGAGATAAACACAGCTGTGGTTTATCTGAGAACCAGGCCACACTGTCCTGGAAATGAACTTCAGGTCAGGAGTCCTTCCTCAGCCAAGAAAGAGAACATGGCTCAGCCTAGTAGTCACCATGCTGGGGATCTGGCCCCAGGTCTGCCACTTCTGTCCCTGCTCTCTCAGGGACCCACTCAGAGTCTCAGCTTCCTCATCTTTAAAGTATGGAGGGGGCCAGGAGGACCCCGCTAGTGGCTCACAAGCTCACACTGTTCTCCAACCCTTTGAATTCAGGTGAGAAATCCCAACATCTTGTTAAGGAAGGTTCTGGAACTATTGGGTTCAGCAACTAGGACTCTGTAAAAGAGATGACCACAGCCAAGAGCTCAAGCAGACAGAAAGGGCATCCCAGCTCTGGAAATGAAATTTGGAGGGGCAGAAGTGTTTCTGAGCCATGAAGTGATAGAAACAGAAGGATGGATGAATATTAGTTTGGGGGGGGCCAGGCTTTCCTAAGATGTTTTTTAAATTATTCCTGGAAGAACTGACATGTGTCTGTCACTCTTGAAATCAGTTCTTATCATAGAACAGAAATGTTTAAGCTTTTAAGTGATCCTGCTAAGGAATCTATTTTTATTGCGTCTCATTCCCTGTATCTTAGCTGAGAGTCAACAAAATTTACTGAGCATCTAATATTAAAAAGTGAATCCCTAGTAACCAGCTACCACTAGGAAAGAGAAACTCAGAGCTAGAAGGTAGGAACACAGGGTATCAAGTCACTCCATGCAGGTCAGATAAAGCCCCTCACAAGAATGCAGGTGACTACATCTGTTCTTTCTTCTTCCTTCTGCCAAACCTCCTGGGAGGGAAATGGTCATAAACAAGCAGGGAGCAAGCTAAGATCTCGCCATGAAAACTATAATATATACACAAATTTAGCTTAACTCAACTTGGAGTTTAACTCCAAGACCAATGGGTGGTGTAATATTCTTTGAAGGGAGGGAAAATAGGGTTCAAAGCCCAGGTAACCTGGTGAGATAAAGAAGTCTCCAGAAAAAAAATTCCAACTCATAACAGTTAAGGAGTACTAGTCTAGAGAAAACTTCATTGTTTGGAATGAATTGATAATGTTAATGCTTAAGAAAGAGTGTTGTGTGTTTAGTACAAGCATAATTGACTGGGAAAGAGGAAAAGCATAGCTGGGTGAAATCATACCCCTTGGAGCAAAGCTAGCACAGGCTAGTGCCAATTTCAGCTCGGCCATTTACAAGCTGTGGGGCTGTTGTGAGTTGACTTATGTTCCCCAAAGAGATATGTTGAAGTCCTAACCCCCAGCACCTGTGAATGTGAACTTATTTGGAAATAGATGTAATCAATTAAGATGAAGTCATACCCTATTAGGGTGGGGCAATCCTAATCCAATGACTGGTGTCCTAATAAAAAGAGAAAACAGAGAGAACACCATGTTGGAACAATGCTTCTACAAACCAAGGAACACCAAGGATTGTCGGTAACCACCAGAAGCTAAGAGAAAGGCATGGAACAGATTCTCCCCTGGAGCCTTCAGAGAGAGCATGACCCTGCTGAAACCTTGATTTTAGACTTCTACCCTCCAGAAATGTGAAAGAATAAATTTCTGCTGTTTAAAGCCACCTGGTCTGTGGCCCTTTGTTAGATCAACCCTAGGAAACTAATACAGGGACTTTGGGCAAGTTACTTAAGCCAAGTCTCAGTTTCCTCATATCTAAAAATGAGGAAGGTAAGAGGATCCACTGATATGGTTGTGGGGAAATAAGCGAGATAAAGCATGCAAAGCACTTACTGTAGTGTTGGTCACATAGTGACCCCAAGATGGAAGCCTTGTGCGGTGATTATCAGGGGAAGCCCTATTTTATCACTTCTCACACTCTTTGTAATATCTTGAGAGTCAACACACTTCGGTCACCCTCCTGCCTTGTGCCAAGTACAACACCAGAGCTTTTCACACACATCATCATGGTCATTCCTTGAAAATGCTTTGGAAACCAAATAGCCCCACCCAAAAGCTATTGTCTCTATTCACGTCTGTGTCCTCACAGAGAACACAGGCCATAAACCAGCCAGCAGCTGCCCGCTGGTGGCAGCATATGCTAATTTCAGTCAAATTACCAGGAGGAAACCTAAATCCATATGGTGCCACAACTTCATGATAGGGCTTAAGGACAAGGATTAGAGAGAAGCAGGGGATGAGGCAGTCAGAGAGCTGGGATGAAGGAGATGGGAGCTTCCAAATGGGGGGAAGGGGAGATTTAGGAGGGAGTTGATTAGGAATTTCAGGGAAAGAAGCTGTATTCGTTTGCTAGGGCTGCCATAAGAAAGTACCACAGACTGGGGGGCTTAAACAAGAGGCATTTATGTCCTTACAGTTCTGGAGGCTGGAAGTCCAAGATCAAGGTGTCGGCACGCTTGGTTTCATTCTGAGGCCTCTCTCTTTGGCTTATAGATGGCCATCTTCTCCCTATGTCTTCCCTCTGCATGTCTGTACCGTAATCTCCTCTTCTTATGAGGACACCAGTCAGAGTAGGGCCCACCCAATGACCCCATTTAACCTTAATGACCTCTTTAAAGACCCCGTCTCCAAATATAGTCACATTCGAAGGTACTGGGGGTTAGGACTTCAACATATGAATTTGGGGAGTGGGGACAATTCAGCTCATAACAGAGGCCTATGACTTAGTAAAGACCTACTATGTGCAGGCACTTTCAATATATTACCATAGCCTGAATGTCCTCCCCTTCCTCAAATTGCTACGCTCTCTGACCTCCGGGCCTTTGCCATGCTGTCCCCTCCACCTGGAACAAATCATCCCCTGCCATTAACACTACCTCTTTCCCTGGGAAATCTCTATGTATCTTTCAGATCTCTGCTCCGACATCACTTCCTTATCCACAACCCACAACTCTAGGTCAGCAGCGCCTCTTTGAGTCCCCAGAGCACTGTGGACTTTCCATATTGTGGTTCTTAACATGCTCTCATAATTCTGATAACATCAGAACAGCACTTGGCGGGGTGCCTAACACCTAATAAGCGCTCAGATGATGTTAGCTGTCATATGACTATTGTTCCTTTCTAGGGTGTAAATGTCAAAAGTCAAGGACCCAAGAACCACATTGATCTTGTTCACCACCGTATTCCCAACACCTGGAGTAATGCCTGGTATGGTTGAGTGAACAAAGGAACAAGAGGATGAATGAAGAAATGCTCACAATCGCACTGTGGGAGTGACACTATCCCCATTTTACAGAAAACAAAACTGGGATTTGGATCCAGGTCTGTTGGATCCCGGAGCCCACCCGCCCTCACCAATGCTCCTCCGAGACTTACCCGGCCAGCACTCTGGCGAGAGAAGGCGTCCACCAGGGCCTCAACCCCATAGTCCACCAGCATGGAGGTGTTGAATAGGAACTGCTCGTAGCTGTACTCCTGGGAGCCCACCTTGAAGGAGTCGGGCATGAGCGGGTGCCAGTGGTAGAGGTGGTTGAACTCCGTGGAAATGCGGTTGCGGTACTGGAACTGGACACCAAACAGCAGCTCCGGGTCAAACTTTAGCTGCAGGAAGTAGCCACTCAGCTGCTGCACGTACTCCTCGATCACAATCTTGATGGTCTCCCCTGAGAGGGAGGATTGGGAGAAGGGTCAGCAGAACACAGGGCTTGGGAAGTAGGCCAGTTCACGAAAAGGATTTTCTTTTGGCCTCTTTATTGTTGTTATTGTCGTTTAATTTTATTTGGCCACTTTTCCTATGTTTTTTGTAACAACGTGTGAAAATGGAACTTTCTGTCTCAAATTAGACTGATGTCCCGAGGCAAGAGCCACCAGCTACCCCATATTCCAAAGGGAGGTTGTAGGCCCAGCTAAGCAGGTCATGCAAAGGAAGCATCCAAGAATCGGTTTTGTGACCCTTGGGTGACCACCCTCCCACAGCCCATTAAAAGAGGGTGGAGAGGCCACAGAAGACAGGAGAGCAGAGACTGACCTAGTGAGGGCTCTCAGCATGCTGACACCCTCAGTGGGTGAAGAGGGCTTTGAAGATGCTGAGACCTACTGCTGCAGCAAAGGAGGGACACTGAGCACATAAGGTGAACCTAGTCCCAAATATATTTCTTATCTGTCCTCATACATCAGAATCCTTAACAATAGATTTTTCCTCTGTCCCCTCAGTAACCAGCTACAAAGCAAAGAGCCAGGGAAGAAACAAATTGAACATTCCATAAAAAAAAGAAAACTGGTCAATTAGATGTTAAAATAAACTGATATTTTGGCCAATTAACCATTACACAAATTGGCTTTTAGCAAATTGATCTGGAGCCAATGGATCTGCAATCAGCAGGCCTGAGTCTAAATCCTGGCTTCACCATTTCTAGCCATCTGAGCTTGTGCTGTGTTACTTAATCTCTCTGAACCTCATTTTCCTTATCTGTAAAATGTGTATTATAATAATATCAGTATAATAACATCCATAAGGTCGATGGGAGGAATAGATGATGAATGCATATAAACTGCTTGGCACAATTTTGACATAATTTTGTTAGTGCCATGGAGTTGATTCCAACTCCTAGCAACCCTGTGGACAGCAGAGCAGAACCCTGCCCAGTCTTTTTGTGCCATCATCTCACCTTCTGGTGCTATATCAGACATAGCAGAATAGCTCTGCTGCTATTCTTAGGGGTTTTCATGGCCAATTTTTTCAGAAGGATGTAGCCAGGTCCTACTTCCTAGTCTATCTTAGTCTGGAAGCTCTGCTGAAACCTGTCCACCATGGGGGACCCTGCTGGTATTTGAAATCCCAGTGGCACAGCTTTCAGAATCACAGCAACACGCAGCCACCACAGTGTGACAACCGACAGATGGGTGGTGTGGTTTCCTGACAGGGAAATGAACCTGGGCCGTCGCGGTGAGAGTGCCAAATTTTAACCACTAGACCACTAGGGCTGGCTCCTGGCATAATAGGGAGTGTGGATACATGTAGGCGAGAAGCAGGCGTATTAAGTGTAGGCATGAGGGAGAAACCCCTCTCCACACTTGCACATTACAAAACGGTCAGACCAAGCCTTACAATCTCTCTCCACTCAGGAAACAGCCCCCCTCATGATGTGGAGGAAGTAGCATGAACTTTGGTGGCAGCCAGACCTGATTCAAGTCTCCTTCAGTTGAGTGGCCTTGGAGAATTCACTTAACCTCTCTGACTCTCAGTTTTCACAAGGGTAATGATATCTGGCTCCTAAGATTGTTGGGGAGGGTTAAATGAAGCATTGGACTTGCACTGCCCTACGAGTCCTGCCTTTGGTCACAGCTTTATCACCAGTCAGTGCTGAGCAGCCTGCAGCCACAGACCTGCCCTCTCTGGTCAAGGTCTCTGCAATGCTGGGACTTCAGAACTAGCCCCTTCTCCTTCTTTAGACTGTTTCTATCCCTGATGCATGGCACTTCCAGACTCCAGGGAATCAGGCACTATAATTGGGACCAGCCATGCCCAGTGATGCCCAGAGGCAGGGGAAGGGGGTTACTGGTGACTCAGAGTGACCGTCTGGACAGGGGTGTCAGGTGCCAAGCTCACAAGCAGGAAACATCTGGCATTTTAGGCTGCAGACTCGCCCCCACAGGGGACACAGAAATATCCTGTCCCTGAGTCACCTAGAAGCTACCAAACTTCAGGAAGGCAGATACATGCAGGGCAGGAAACCTGAGGATTCCTGAAAGCTGGGCAAGTGGAGTTTGACCTGCATATGCTGGCCATGTCCCTGTGTGCCTCTGCGTGCAATACAATGGGGAAACTGAGACTTGGGGTGGCTGATCAAATTTGCTACAAGTCACCCAGCTAATAATCAACCATCACAGCCATCCATTTTCTGAAGGCCTACTATATGCTAAGTGCTTTCTCATTCATCATCTCAACAAATCCTTAAAACCATCATTATCCTCAACGTCCACATTTGGAGAGTGAGGCTCATATAGGGGAAGGGGCCTGCTCAAGCTCTCACAGCTAATAAACAGAAGAGCTAGGATTCTAATCCCAGCTCTCCGTCCCCAAGCCCTCCACCCCCTGCTTCTCAGGATGGAGGTTGTGACCTTCCAGGACAGGGCTGGTTTGGAGTCCTCACCGATGAGGATGAGGCGGGCCGTCTGGAAGAGCTGCTCATCGCCCCAGGTGGGGTGCTCAGTCTTCAGCAGGTCACACACACGGTTATGCTCGCGCAGCCAGAGCGTGGCATAGAGCATGAGCCCAGGAAGCAGCCCAAACACCTCCTGACCCACGGCCATCTGTCTCTGGGGCAGAACGCCCTGTGGGTAGTGCATCAACACAGGCGCCTCTTCCACGGACGGCGGGTACACCTCTCCATTCAGCACCTGCGGGATGGGATTGCCTGGCAACCTGGGGACACGGGCCACAGCTGACACCCTCTCATTCCTACTTACAGCTGCCTGAATCAGGCAGGGCAACTGCACATCCTCCCTGACGACGGCCTGTTGATTCTATCTCCTAAATCTCTCTTAAAGTGGGTCCCTTTCTCTCTATCCCCACTACGACCACCCGCTTCCAACCCACCTTCATCTTCCACCCCGCCTCCTCTTGTAAGTGGCTCCCTACACCCACCCCTGACCCCAGACCGTCCATTCTTGTCTCTGCAACCACGGCAATCCTTTTAAAAACCCAAACTTAGCCTCACGCCCTGGCTTAAAACCCTTCTAAGTCCTCTCTCTGCTTTTGGTAGAAATCAGAAATCCTTAACAGAGCCCCACAGAGTCTCCACCCTTACCTGGAACCATTCAGGTGCCCAGCAGCACCTTCCTTCTATCTTCCCTGCATGTCCCTCAAGCTGCTTCCCCTCTCCAAGCCCTGGCACATGCTAACCTAGAGAGCCCTTTCCCCTCCTGGGCCTCCCAACACCTCCTCATCCTTCATGCAACTCTTGGTTTATTCACACTTCCCAGGGACACTTCCCACACTCTGAATACTCACGTGGCTTCTTCCTGGTGGAGAAGTTATCATGCTAGTTATCACAAGCATAACAAATTATATGGTAGTTTCTTCATTCGTTCAATAAATATACACCAGAGACCTACTATACGCCAAGTACTGTCCTTAGCCCTAAAGAGTCAGCAGTGAACTTTTTGTTTTGGTTTTTGTTTGTTTAGATTTGCAGGGTCCAATATGGTAGCCAGCAGCCACGTGTAGCTATTGAGCACTAGAGATGTGGCTGGTGTGAAGGACAAACTGAATTTTTTGTGTGTGTGGGGAAAACCAGCTCTGAGCTAACATCCATTGCCAATCCTCCTCTTTTTGCTGAGGAGGATTAGCCCTGAGCTAACATCTGTGCCCATCTCTATTTTGTACGTGGGACGCCACCACAGCATGGCTTGATGAGTGGTGCATAGGTCCGTGCCTGGGATCTGAACCCGCGAACCCTGGGCCGTTGAAGCAGAGCACATGAACTTAACCACTACACCACCAGGCCAGCCCCTGAATTTATTTATTTATTTATTTATTTTTTGTGAGGAGGACTAGCCCTGTGTTAACATCCGGTGACAATCCTCCCCTTTTTTCTTGAGGAAGAGGGGCCCTGAGCTAACATCTGTGCCCATCTTCCTCTACTTTATATGGGACGCCACCACAGCATGGCTTACCAAGCGGTGCGTCAGTGTGCGCCCGGGATCTGAACCTGTGAACCCCCGGCCCCCGAAGCGGAGTACACGCACCTAACCACTTGCACCACCAGACCGGCCCAGCCCCTGAATTTTTAACTTAATTAATTTAGATTTTAATTTTAAAACTGATACTTCAGCTATTGGAAAATCTTTAAGTACACTCAGAACAACTTGGGCATGTAAATTCATGTTTTCAACTGTAAATTTTATGAACTCTAAATGCAGATCAGATATCTCCAATGAAAGTTCGGCATCCAAATCGAGATGTGCTGTAAGTGTAAAATAAGGATCAGATTGAGATGATTTAGCATGAAAAAAAAGAATGTGAGATATTTTATTAATGATTTTTGTACTGATTACATGTTGAAATGATAATATTCTGGAAATATTGGGTGAAACAAAATATATTATTAAAATCAATTTCACCTGTTTCTTTTTACCTTTTTTTAATGTGGTCACTAGAAAAATTTTAATTATATGTGTAGTTTGCATTATATTTCTATTGGATGGTGTTAGTTCAGACAACAAGTCCCTGTGGAACTAGCATTCTGGTGTTTATATCTGTGGCCCCTGATGACTATGAGTTTCTTGAGTGCAGGGCCCCTAATTATGACAGTCACTGCTCAACCACCTACGCCAGACACATCGTAGTGCCCAATTAATATGGAATAATTAAATGAGCAAATGCAAACTGGACATGCCCATCTCCTGTCGAGCCCCAAAATCCACCTCCCAGGAAGACATGAGAGACTATGTCTGTTCCTCGTCTGCTGCTCTTGCCTGGCACCTTCTCCCAGAGTTTATTGTCTCTCCTCCTCACACACACCTCCAGCTCCTGCAGCTGGCCCTCTGAGGACACCACCCAGACCACGGAAGGTGCTTCCCAATGCCCCATCCCCACGCCCGGCGCTACCTGGTACTTGAGTTTCCCATCCTTAAAGAGCCGCAGGTGATACTGACGTTCCAGATTGTCTCCATAAATGTGGCCGAGGTCTACCTGAGGACAGAGGGTGGGTCCATTCAGATCACCAGGTCCTGCCCTAACAGCAACAACGTGTATGTGCCAAGTTAGGTCCTGCCAACTTAGGTTAGAGATGCCCTGAGCCCCTCCTAGTTACTCACCCCATGGCCCAAGGCCTTGGTGAAGCCAGGACCCATTTTGCCAGAAGTTTTGAAGAACTGGTGGGTGAAATGTTGTGCAAAGAAGGCAAACATGAGATTGGTGCCTTGGGGGTCAGGTATGAACTTCCTCCTGAGTAGGAAGCGATGGCTCAGGAGCTGGGCATCTGGCAACTGCTTCTTCCCTGGTTGGAGAGGTGGGAAAGACCAGTAGCTGCCTCCTGTCTGGATCTTCCTGCCCCAGGGCCCTCTGGGCTCATCAGACCAAACTGGTCCATGCCCAGAGCCACCTCTGCAGGGCCACCTACCTCCCACCAGATGGCCCCTTGCACCTTCTCTACCAAAAGACCCTAGAAGTACTTATAGGTGAAATGGCATGATATACGGAATTTGCTTTAAAATATTCCATAAAAAATAAGGTGAGAAGAGACAGATGAAATACGATTGGTAAATTTGGATAAGTCTTGAAACCGAGAGATGGATACATAGGAGATCACTGTACTTTCCTCTCAACTTTGGTGTATGTTTACAACTTTGAAAAAGCTAACCAAAAAGAAAGGAGAAAGAAAAGAGAAAAAGAAATTGGACTCCCCAGCCCTGGAGCAAAGTGAACACAGAAAGTCATTTCATCTCTCTGAATCTCCACTTCTTCATCTGTAAAATAGAGCAAATGATACTTATTTTATGCAGTGGATTTGAGTAGTGAATGAGATAACGTAAGCATCACAGAGAACTGGTGAGGTAGAAAGCTTTTAAATCAAAGGTCAGCAAAATTTTTCTGTAAAAGGCCAGAGAGTCAATATTGTAGGCTTTGCCAACATATGGTCTCTGTCACATCTACTCAGCTTTGCTGTTACACCAAGAAAGCAGCCATGGATGATATGTAATGAATGTAACTGTGTTCCAGTAAAACTTTATTTACAAAACAGGGGGTGGGCTGAATTTGATCTGCAGGCTGGAGTTTGCCAACCTATTTTAAGTGATGCTAGTCTTTCTCTGTCTGGATTCAAGACAAGTCACCTTGAAGCATGTGTCTGTCATTATGAGAATAAGTATTAAGAGGCCTTTCTTAATTATGTCAATGTCAGATGAGTTGGTACCCAATGCCCTCACAGAAAGAAAGAGTTGACTTTTTGTGTTCTGGTAAAGGCATCCTTTCACAATACCTCATGCGAGGAACAGTGTTGAAGGTTCAAGATCAATAGAAAAGCGCTTTGGATTGAAATGGCTGACTGGTTTCCTCTAGCAGGAAAAGTCATCAAGCACCCCAAAGGGAACTCACCAAAAGGGAAGTTGGAGGGAGTGATCTGTACCCCATGACCTGGAATCATCACTCAGATTCACACTGAGCAAGGACTGGTTCCAGCAAAGTGTTGGCAGAGTCCAGAAGATCTACGAGACCCAGCTATCCTGGCAGAATGGTTATGCTTTGGGAATAGTAGCTATACATGAGCATGCAAACCATCAGAGTAGTGCCCTTGAGGCCCAGCTAAGGACATCAATACATATGCAAGGTTCTGAACCTGCAAAAGCACACAACCACGGGGCTACACAGGACCAGTGTTCAGTGGCGGGAACTGAAGTGATGGCAGTGGAGGATTGATGCCTCTCTTGTCCTCTCCGAAAGTGAAGCTGAATTGATGACTCTGGACTGAGTAAACTCCCAGGTTTTTGGACAACCAGGAATACAGTGGGAAGAAGGGCTTAGGAGGAAGACCCCTGCCAATGAGACCAAGTGGGGTCTTGGGCAACTAAAGAAAAAAATCTGACTTTTTGTATAATCTACATTGATGAAGCCTGGAAAACTATTTACATTAGTAAAGAACCAAACATGGAATTAGCACCCAATAAATAGCACATGATTACTTTCCTCCTACATTTCAACTTTTAAGTCACCCCCATCCCAACAAGATCCCACTCATTCAGCAGACAAGGTTCAGGCACAGAGGCACCTGGAAATAAGGAAACACTAGTCTGACTCTGCCACTGACTTTCTAGGCGACCTCAAGCAATACCCTCCACCACACTTTCCTGTCCTTATTCTCTAGCCCTGTCTTCATCCCTGGTTCTGGATATGTCGTATGTCTTGCCTTGGTCCATCCGTCTGTGAAATGGATCAATAATTGCTCTTCTGCCTGCTTTTTCCCAAAAAGGAGAACTGAGCATCTCCTGTGATCCCCAGGCCCAGCCCCCTCACCCTGTCTCCATTACCTTTAGTCCCCATGGGCGTGGGGCAGTCTTGGGGCACAGAGGGCAGCACACGAGTGTAATAACTCACATTGGAGAAGGACTCCCAGCTGATGTAGTCATACGCTAAGTTGTAGGTAGGGGGGCTGGGGATAAGGTTGGAACGCACTGCAGAGAGTGAAAATAGTGGTGACAAGAGGGTCCCCACCCACAGTTACACCCCCTTCCCAGCCTCCTCTTGGGTTAGACTTGTTTTATCTGGCATCATAGAGTCTCCCCACCCACAGCCCTTATCAGATGCCAAGAACTCCAAGAACTGGCAGGATTTCTTGCTCCCCAAGAGGGGCCCTGCCCCCCACCCACCTGTGAGTACCAGGCGCATGAGCATGTCACGGATGAAGGTGGCATTGACTAACTCCCAGAACCAGCGCCCGTGTGTCAGCAGGAAGTGGAGGAATGAGGGGCTGGGCCGCAATGAATTCCGGAGCCAGGTCCATAGTTCAGCTGCGGGGGCAGTGGAGCCACTCAGTCGGGGCCTCCTGGTGGACCAGAAGTAGCCAGAGTGGAAGATGGGGACTGGGACAAGGGCCAGGATGGAACAGGGTAGAACCTACGAGGTGGGGGTGAGGATGGAAGCTTGGGGGTGATGATACACGACAGAGCCAGAACCAAGTGAGGACAGGGATGGAACGAGGTCAGGTTGGGCAGTGAAGACTCGCCACAGAGCCCAGAAGCAGGGAGCGAGGTGTGCCAGGAGTGAGAGCTTGTGCTGGAGCCAGGCCAGGGAGTGTGTCAGAGGTCAGAGCCAGGCAAGGAAAGAATGGGGCCATGGCCAGAGACAAGGGCAGGAAGTGGGGGTCTTGGAGGACAGGCCCAGGGGAGCAGGAGGGGCCCAAGACAGAAGGAATGGGGCTGGAGGCCCAGCTCACGGATGGTGCAGTTGGGGCCGGAGTAGCCCGTGCGGGTGCAGTCACACTGGTAGCGGTCAAGGCCGAAGCGGACACAGATGCCCTGGTGCTGGCATGGATAGTAACAACAGGGGTTCACTGTGGGTGAGAGACAGAGATCAGAGACCACTCTAGGGAGACCTCTCGTTGGGGGCAGAGGCGCAGACTCAAGTCGCAGCTCTGACCTAACTCACTGGACTTCAGTGTTCCCCTAAGGGCCTCTCTGTTCCCACAGCTGTGAACAGAAAGCCCCCCACCCTTCCGTTTCCAGGCCTGGTCTGGATCTCCAGCCTCGCCCACATGGGGCCCCCAGGGGAAGTCCCCCCTCCCTCCCTGCTGCCACCAAAAGGGGAAAAGGGAAGAGTCCAGGCCACAGGCTGTGACATTGAAGGCTAGGAAACAGCTGATAAGACGCTGTAGCCACAGGCTTCTAGAGCGTTCACTTCCTGCCAAGGCAGAGCCCAGCACCAAGGGCAGGGTTTGTGGGGTTCAGAAAAGGGAGAAGGATGGAGGATTCTCTCAGACCAGCCCCCAACCTCTGGGCACCTGGACACTAGGAAGATGAGATCGCCCACCATCTCTCCATTTTTACGGAAGGGAAGGAAGAGCAGGTATCCTAACCCCACTTGCAGATGGGGAAACTGAGGCCAGATAATGGGAAACCCAAATGGGTCACCCAGCAAGTCACAACAGACCAACTGCCCATCCCTTCACTTCCTCCCCACCCCCAAAAACTAGGCAATCAAGTCCAAGGAAAGAAGCTTCCCAGAACCCTGCAGACATAGTATGGGTTTGAGGGGAGTCTGTCTCAGCTCCCGTTCCTAATGGGCCCAGCCTTGGCCCATGTCACTGTGGAGTCTGGGCTCTAGGATCTTGAGGAAGGTCAGGGTCCAAGGGAACAGGAGAGATGTGGCTGGAAAAATCTCCTGAGAGGGTGAATGGAGCTCTGGCATCAGCCCCCATGCCTCCTGGAGAAACTCCTACCAGGAAGTCCCGTCTTATGTCTAACTCAGATTTCACCAACCATAGCCCCCTTGCTCAAATCTGCACTGCTTCGGTGACTCTTCAACAGCAAAGTCAGAGGCTCCTTAGAGCTCACTCACTGCTCACTCACTGCTCAGTGAGGGAACCTGAGGCTCAGAGAGAGGTGGAGGCTTGGCCAAGGACACAGAACAGAGCAGGGCCTCCTGCAGACCTAGGACTCCTGGCTCCTGGCAGGGGCTCCTTCCCCGGGCTTACACAGAAAGCGCCAGGTTTCCCTCTGCAGACATACTTCCTTATCTGGACTCAAAGCCAACATTACAAGGAACTCCTATTTTGGGCGTCAAGAGGTAGCAACAGGTGAGAGAAGCCTGGGAAGTCATTTCAGGGCGCTGTGATCAGAGGGCATGACCCTGGGCAAGGCCTGACCCCTCTGGTCTTGTCTCCTCACTTCACAGTATGGGGTCTGGGCAGCAGGGTCCTCCTGGGCCCCACTTTAGAGGGGGACTCCAGCACCACCACACTCACACACACACACACACAAGCAAGCAAGCAGAATCACAAAGGTCATGCAAATAGTTTTGCTTAAGTCCCAGCAACTCCCTGTAGCCCCACAATGACATCTTTGTGGCCCCTGCAGGGGTGTTAGAAGGAGGGGCCAACAGGAAGCAGCCTAGACAAAAAGGCCTTATCAGAGTGACACAGGAGGACCAGCAGGCAGGACCAAGGGCAGGGGCCTGGCAGGACCCAGCCTGCCCCTCCCACAGCCACAGGCCCAGAAAAGCCAAGGAGCCTCAGGATCATCCCTGGCTGGCTCAGGGATCTGGAACTCTCTTCATTGATCCCTCCTGCTCAGGACACTCTGCTCACCTGCCTAATTCACCTGCCCAGGAGCTCCTCTGCCCAGCTCCCAACCCTGGCACACAGGCCCTCTCTCACAGATGGATCAATGCTACCACTCAGCGGGCACAGGGGCTCAAGCCCACCCCTTCTCTGGGCCCAGTTTCCCTATCTGTGGTAGGGATCTCAAAAGGATGGCAAGAGGTCCTTCTGGCTCACTCTGGGGCAGCCCGGTCCCTTAGCCCCAAAGCTGGAAGCTCTTCCGCTTCCTCTACCCAGACCGCTGCTGCTTCTCCCTAATAAATTCCCTCCAAATCCACCTGACCCTCCTGCCTGAGCCCACGCCTAGCCTCCGCCAGAAGCCTCCCCCGAATGTCCACACTCTAACTCCTTCTGCTCTCCCTCACCCCGGCTCCGTGTTCCAGCTAGACCAGCTCTTCTCCACCCTAAGCCCCAAGACCAGGGGCCAGGCTTTCCCCGACTTTCTCCTCCGTAACACAGGCTGTGCGCACAGCTCGGGCTCAACGCAGGTCCTGGAGAGATCCGGCTGCCCAGGGGATCCAGATATGGTGGCCAGAGCTCAAGAAATGTTTGTGGAATTAATAAAATGAAATGAGGAGACTGGCCACCCCAAGCTTGGCCAAAAAGACCTCTAGTCTTCCCAGCCCTCGGCAGCTGGCTTCAAAGTCTAGCTTGAAGGCTTCCTGCTGCAGCCCGAGGGTTCTACCCAGCAGGCAGCCGAGAGCCAGCATCCCTCTCCTGCCAAGAGAGGCTGTATGCTGAGCGGAGGATCCTCCCTCCAAACCAGCTCTCCAACTTTCCCTCCCTCCTCCTCCATGATCTTTCCATAAACACCAGCTGCCCCGGGGCAGCAAAAGTTCTCCCCAGCAAGGATGACAGCTGCCGCTGGGGCCCCAGAGTGTCAGGGCGGGCAGAGAGGAAACTGCATCCTGCTTCCCCAGGGGTGAGCCTGACCACGGATGGACTGTCTCAATCAGCATTGGCCGGGGAAGCCAGGGCTCTAGCTGACCACTCCACAGCTATGCATATCCACCACTCGTTTCTCTTCTCAGCACTCCCAGGAGCGGTGGGTGAGACTCCCCAGGGCACAGAAGAGCAATGCCAGGCTCAGAAGGCAGGAGACTCACTTAAGCCCCACTGCTTCAAAGGTGCAGAGCTAAGATTTGAACCCCCTTCTCTTCCCCTCCTTTCCTCCTCCTGGAGGTGCCCAGGCCTGGGTTTGGGGAAGGGATGGGAGCAACAGTCACTTTGATCCATAAGCTTGGAATGACCCCAGGTGAGGTAGGTTTGTCACCCTTCCTTTGAAGTGGACCTGAAAATCGTGAATGAATGAAACCAAGACCCCAGAGGGATCACCATCCCCGTCACAACGAGAGCTCTGGGAACTATTCACAAAGGAAGGCCTTACTTCAGTCTAACTGAAATCCTGCATGCTTTCATGCCAGCCCAGTCCTGTGCTCAGTGGAGGACAGCCTGTATAAGAAACCACAAAGAAAGAGAATGGGGAGAAGCAGGCACCAAGTCTAATGCGTATTGAGTTCCCACACCCAGCACAGGGCCAGGTAGCAAGCAAGTGCTGGGAAAAAATGTATCAGAGAGTGTCTGCTGTTTACTGGCTGTGTGTCCTTGGGCAAGTCCCTTGCACCCTCTGGGCCTCATTTTTGTGTGTGCATCCCAGGAAGAGGATGGAGCAGACAGGCTCTAAGGAGACCCTCTCTGCCTCCCCTTCCTCTCTCCTCTGGGTGGAGATCATCTACCCATTAGTTGCATCCGTATGATTCCCCAGCCCCATCAGCAGAAAACCTTGCAACTTGCTCTCTCTGAGTCTTCAAGCCACCCCAGAGGTGGGGTTGATCACCATGCCCATACTGTACACATTCCTGCAGACAAGGACTGTCCAGGACTACCTGGCTCCAGAACTTTCTAAGGATTCAGGCAAGGAAATGTCCCCCAGCCCAGGAGTCAGGGCTCCGGGCACAGTGGGGGAACACCAAGTCCTCTAGGATGCAGAGGTGCCAGGCAGCAAGAGGGCTTGTTAAAGAGATTGGATTGAAGTCCCATAAGAATAATATTTAGACAAGCTTCAGGGCCTTGGCAGCCAAAGAGAAAAAAAGGAACCTGACTCGCCAGACATGCGCCTCAGCCCTATAGCCAGCCAGGGCAGCAGCCAGAGGCCAGGCACCACCAGGCCAGGCCCCAATAGCTGGACCCAAAGCTGGGAGAGCTCAGCTGGAGACGAAGCCCCCTCTCAGCCCACAGCCCCAGCTGGTGCTGCACATAGGAGGCAGCAGGGGTTGGGGGGGTCAGGTCAGGGGCGGGTGGCAGGGAGGCCTTGGCCCAGGCTGGGTTCCCATCCCATGTGCAGAGGTTAGCTGGCCTCAGGCCCCTCCACCTGGTATGGAGCTCTGACTGCCAAGTCATGCCCTAGCCCTAGCCAAGGAGAGAGTATGAAGCCAAGTCCAGGAGCTGGAGGGGATGAACTTGAGCATTAAGGATCCCCTGGCACAGGCTTGCCCTCCAAGCTGGACTCCACCTCTTCGCCGACAGGAGAGGCAGAAGCAAAACTCTCCCCCGCCACCTGCCGTCAGGCGAGTCTGCAGCCGTCATTCCCTGGGGGACTGGCCTTTGCTGCCCCTCTGGGGGCAAAAAAGAGGCTTTGGCTTCCCAGGGCAAATGCTCAGGTATCTTGGACCTCAGTTCACTCATAGACTTGGAAGTACAGCCCAAACCTTCTGCCCCTGCACCCAACTTGTCATCAACTCTTCCCTTGACCCTTACAGCAGCCTCCTTAATGGTATCTCACCTCCAGTCTCACCCCCAAGTAATCCCTGCAACTACTCTCCCGCTCCCAGTTACCCTCAGACCCAAGTCCAGGCTCCTCACTCTGCATTCAAGGGCCCTTGCTAACCAGCACCTGCCTCTCGGCCTGCTGCTCCCTATGCTCCCATCTGCCTGTGGTTCAGACTAGGCTTCAGCTCATGCCATTGCTTCTACCAGAAAGACCCTTACACAGTTTCATAGTAAAGTCTCACAGTATTTTTCCCCACTCACCACCTCCTCAGGGTCTAGGTCAAATGTCACCACCTCCAAGAAGCCTCCTCAATTCCTCACACTTGACAGATAACTGCTCCCCCCACCAGCCCCACACACCCCTGTGCTGCCCTCAGTCACGGCCCTGAGCCCCTTGGATGACGGTCTGTTGGCATTCTTTCTCCCCTATCAGACTGAGTTCCTCCTAGCTCTGTGTCTCCAGGCTCCAGCCAAGGACTAGCACAAAGCAAGCCCTTGGGAATGTTTGTGTAGTGAGAAACACAATTCCGTTCAAACACTTAATGATATAAAGATAAGGAGAAAAGGCAAAAACACAAAATGGCACAGACCACGGGTCACTGAGCATTAGTGATCAGACACAGGAAGACAGATGGGCGAGCTCTGGGCACCCCAGGGGCCTGGAAGGGGCCGAATGGGGCCTCAGAGGAAATTCTGGTCTGATCCAAGGGCTGAAAAGACTGGTCACTGGGGTGGTCTGGTCAGCCCTGGCTCTGCTATCAGGGTCTCAGACAAACGGGCTCACCGCTCTGGGCCTCAGAGTTCCCTTCAGTAGAATGAGTCTGTCACATCTCCCTGGCAGGGCTGTTGTGAGCACCAACAAAGTGGACGCCCACAGCCAGGATTTGTAAACTGTAAAGTGCTGGCCACATGAGTCTTCCTCCTCTTCTTCCCCTAAGCTAGGTCTCTGCTCATACCCAAACTCTTGCCTGGAACTCCCTCCATCATTTCCCTGGCTTCCCCAAATGCCACCGACTCAAACTCTCTCCTCCAGGAAACCTGGTCTGATTCACAGTCCACATAGGTATCTTTACTCTCTCCTCTGAGCACCAAATCCCTAGTGCATCAAGGAAGCCCAGACCCCCTTGGCCCCCTCCCATCCTCTCTTGCCCCCATTTTACAGATAAGATACGGAGACCCAGACAGGGATGGATCCCACAGCTAGGTGGTGAAGGAAGCTATGTCCAGGCCTTGCACACACACTCATGCACGCACACACACACACACACACACACACAGAAGCAGTAAGCTGGGGGAGGGAGGTTGGCTGAGGGAGGAGCTGAATTCCTTCACCTGGAAGCGGGTACATGCATGGGAGGGGGCGGGGGTGGTGGAATTTTACAGAATCTGACTTTCCTCATCACCTTTGGGGTAATGAAACCAGGGTCCATTGGGGTGTGGGGGTGGGGGCACTCTCTGTGGAAAAACCTTGCAAAGTGCCTAGAGTCAGATAGATCCAAGTTCAAACCCTGAGCCCACCACGTACTGTGTGAGCTTGAGGGCGTTATGGCGTCTACTTGAGCCTCAGTTTCCTCATCTGCCCCATGGCGACCTCTTGAGTAAGGATTTCCACCTCAAGGGAAGCAACCTCGCTCTGTAAATGTATTTCCACCTCCCGTCTTCCCAGAGTGGCTGGTGTACCGGGGTCCTCACCACGGGAGATCTCCGCCGAGGCTGGGAATCCCGACAGGATCCCAGAAAGTTAGAGGCTGGAGAAAGGGAACTCATTCGCCAACCCGCTTTCCCCTCGACGTCTGCTGCTTCCTCCGAAAGGGGGCCCCACAGGAAACAGCGGAGTTGTTGAGGGGGCTTGGACCGCTGGGGGCCCAGAACAGGTGAAGAGGCTGGAGAGGGGCTGTCCCTTCTCCCCAAGCCGGCACGAATTCCCAGTCTGCCCTTTCCCCAAAACAGAGCCCTGTGCGCCCTCGCCAAAGCCACACCCCCCGGGGGTCTTCACAGAGCCCCCGCCCCACCAATAGACTCAGCCCCCTCCCCCTCCCCAGGCACCGAATGCAGAAAGGGGAAGCTAGGCGGGCCGGAGGGGAGAGGAGGGAGAAGAGCCAGGCCAGGGGCGCAGGACCCGGGGCTTCTCGGGGTCAGGGAGGGGGCCGCCTACCAGGCGCCGGCGCCCCGGGCTCCGCAGGCAGGACTAAGGACGGCGGCAGCAGCAGCACCAGCAGCAGCAGCGGGAACCGGTGCAAGAGACTCTGCCCTGCAGAGGGAGAGAGATTAAGGGCTGAGCCTGGCATTCAAGGCTCCACTGGGAGGCAAAGAGGATTCCTGGGGACACGGGGGCCGGACTCACGGCTCATGGTGCGGAGGCGGAGGATGGGTGCCGGATACAGACTGCCGGCTCCTTTTGTGCTGTCTCTAACTCTGCCCGGAGCTCTGGCCCGCCTGGCCCGCCCCCTCCCCACCCAGTGTCTGGCTCCACCTCTCCAGCCAGCTGTCACCTCGGCCGCTGCCCACTTACTTCCTCTGCTCCTGCCCCAGCCAAGGCATTTTATTAATTACTCTATGATTGCCACTAAGGCAGTTTTTCACCCAAGATCCTGAGGCACTGAGCTTTTAAAGCCCAGCGGCGCCAGAACTGTGTCCATTTGGTGAATGGGAAACTGAAGCCCAGAAATGATGTGCAATACTGAGGTCACTCAGGGCTTCGGAGCAAAACTGCGAGCAGCATCTCAGGCTAGAAGGGATGGTCTGAACCACACATCCTGCCCCCCAGAGAGAAAGGGGGCTCAAAAACGAGCCGTCCAGGCCTGCCGGCACATCCTTTCCTGAATGGGAAACCCACTACCCTCAGACAGATCCAATATGGAGGACTGGCTTCCCCAGGGGCTGGGCTCTGCCCCCTGAGGCTGCACGTCTCTGTCTGAGCCTCTACTACCAGAAATGAAGAGCACAGGCTCCAAGCCCAGGAGATCTGAGTTCAAATCCAGACTCTACAGCTTACTAGCTGTGTCACCTTGAACCTGGTACTTGCCCTCTCTGGTCTTCAGTAGTCTCATCTATAAAATAGGGATAATAATAAGAACCATCCCAGAGGATTGTTGTAAGATTTGCTGAGATAATGCACACAAATCTCCTGCAGTGCCTAACACATAGTAGGCGCTCAGTTGTTAGGCGCTCAGTTATCAGGAGGCATTTCTTTCAAAGATCTCCTAACTCAGATTCCAGAGCTGGCCAGGTTGATGCTCTAGCTGGATTCACATCTACCTGCCGACTTTACAGAATCCCAGCATCCAGCTTCTCCTTTGTATAGCTGGGGAAACTGATCTCAGAAGGAGGATGGGTCCTAGGTCGCACAAAGTCTCCTGGTCCCCACACCCACAGGTTTTCTCCCTCAATTTCCCCAGCACACCTAGCCATCCTGTGGGCCCCAGAGTGGGAAGGCCTGGCAGGAGGGCTCAGAGGTCCTTGTGCCGAGTCCCAGGCATCCTTGGGTGTGGGGTGGGAACCGTGCTGGGTGGAAAAGGTAAGGCCTGCTGGGAGCCCCTCCTACGTCCCCACCCGAGCTGTTCTCATGCTCCACTAGGACAAAAGCCAGCTGCCCCAGGGAGACAGAGCAAGCCAGGGCAGACCTGGGGAGGGAGTAGGGCAGACAGAGGGCCTGGGACTCTCGGGTGCTGGGACAGGCTTCAGCTTTCCCCAGCACCCCAGATCCAGGGCCTCCTGGTAACTACCCAGACAGGACGAGAAGACATAAGTCATGGATTATCATCAAAAGGGATGGGTGGAGATTTGGGCATCTAGTTACCTAAAGAAAAGGGGGCTTTCTGGTGATGAAGAAAGGAGAGAAGGGTTTGGATGGGGCCCCATCTTCCACTCCCGGGTCCTCCCTGCCTTCAGGCCCTGGGCCCAGGAAGTTACCACGCCTGGCCCTCCTGCCGACTCCTTACTCCCAAGCTGCCCACCCATTCTCAAAGGAGCAAGCACTTGTGTGGCCCTGGGCATTGGGAGAAAGAGTCTTAGGCTGGGAGTCAGGAGAACTGAGTTCAAGTCTCAGTTCTTCCATAGGTGACCTGAGACAAGTCTCTGCACCTCTCCTGGCCTCTGGTTCCCCATTTAAACAATACAAAGGTCAAATCAGATGGTCTCTGAGAACAGGCCCAGCATGGAGTGATTGAGTCCTCTCTGTGGCCAGGCTCTGTGACTGGTGCTGGAGATCCTGAGATGATGCAATGAAGGAGAGGCCAGAGGCAAGATGGCAGACACGGTGCCAGTGCAGTCCTCCAGGGACGGGATGGTACCACGAGGGTGGAGTGGGGAGAGGAAGACAAGAAAAATGGTGGCAGATGAAGTGCCAGGGCTTGGTGACTGATGGACCCTGAAGCTTCAGGGAAAGAGAGGTGCTGAGGAACACACCTAGGTTTCGGCTTGGTGTTGCTGATAATACCCAGGGAAGAAACCAGGGCCAGGGAGCAGGCTGGCATAGATGGCATTGGAATTTGGACTCATTGTGTTTGGTCCATCTCAGCAGCGGGGTCCCGCCTGCAGCTGGATACACGGTAGGGGGCTCTACGCTAGCCCTTGCCCCAGCCCTGGGAAAGGGCCACAGCACACGGTCACCTTTCCCTGCTCCAAAGCCTGTAGCCTCAACATCTGGAAGTTTTCCTAATCCTCAGGATGGTGAACTTCCACTCGTTGGGAAAGGCCCAGCCCCAGAGTCCCCTGGGAAGCCTCATCTGGCACACTTCCTCCTCTTTCTGTCCTCTGAGGAAACCCCTGTGCCATGCCTGGTCACCGCAGGCAGCACACTGGATTGTGTTGTCCCTCTCTCTCCCTTATTAGGTTCCGAGCATCTTGATCACTCTTGTATCCCCAGGGCCAAGTGCAAGATCTGGCATATAGAAGACGTCCGGCAAATGTTGGTTGATTGAAGAAATGAATGAGTGTCTGTATGAGTGAGCAAATGTGTGCTAAAATATGGACCTTGTATGAGTGAGTGAAGGTCCAGGGGCCAGCCTGATGAAGGTGAATGCCACCCTATCCATCTGCTGTGACAACCACCAGAAGTGTGTCACTGCCCTGCCTCAGTTTCCCTGTCTTCCCCAGCTGGACCCATTGGCCAGCACCCCCAACACTCTCACAGGTCCAGCTCCACCCCAGGCCCTGAGCCCCTCCTAGCTAAGGCAGCAAGGACCTTCTTCCCTATACACCACTGGTGACATGGGGTGGGGTTTCTCTCTCTGCAGACCCCAACCCCTGGCTCTAAACCAATCACATGCCCTCCTGGCAACCCTACCAGAGGCCCTAGCTAGGGCCTGGATTGTAATGCCCCTCAAAAGGTCTCACCCCTGCTGAGTGCCACCCACTATTTGGAAATCCAGAGCTGACTCTCACCTGAATCACTCAGGGACCCAGCCCCACCCAGCCCCACCCAGCCCCACCTCTGGAGGCTGCTTCACAGCCAGGCAGGAAAGCTCTGGAGTGAACCTAACATCTCTTCAAATCCCAGCCCCTGCCAGTCCCGACCAGCTCTCAGTGTGACCTTAGGTAGACAACTGCCCATCTTGGGCCTCAGTTTCCCCATCTGTAAAATGAGGTTCATGATTCCATTCTTGCAAGAGTTATTGGGAGGACAAAATAAGGTCTATGTGAGCATGCCCAGCCTCCAGTAGGAGCTCAATGTTAATTCTTCACCTGCTCTCCCTTCTGTTCTCTGCCTGAGCAGGAGGGCTTATGCAAAGTTTTCTTCCTCTTCGTCTTTACCTACTCAGTGCCAGGCTAGGGTTGGGCATTGGTGGTAATAATAATAATTGCTAATATCTCAAGTATCTATTACATGCCAGACAGAGGCTGTGCATTTTATATGCACTATCACATGTAATTTTCTCAACAGCCCTATAAAGTATTGTCACCTCCATTCTACAGAGAAAGAAACCGAGGTCCAGAGAGCTGAAGTGACTTGCCTAAGGTTGCACAACTAAAAAGGATGAGGTTTCAAGGCCCAATCCCTTTGTTCTGGAATACCAGGTACCATGTACTAAGCCCCAGTATAGCCAGCCAGTCTTTGGAGCTGGTTAAGAGGAAACAGAAATGCACTGTGGTCAGCTAGGGGTGGAGGTGGGGGGGCCAATGTCAGCCGCGTAGTTCAGCTGAGGAGCTAAGAACTGAGACTCACAAAATGCTTTTACATCTCTTTCTCATTGAAATCCTCACAGCGGTTCCAAGAGAAAGGTATCATTATCCCCATTACACAAAAGAGGAAACTGAGGCTCAAAGATGTCCCTAGATCATGAGTGAGGAGGAAGGGGAGAGGGAGTTATAACCGCCCACTGGAACACCGGCTATGTGGCAGACATGATATTAAGGGGTTTTGGTGCATCATCTCCTTTATTACTCATAACAGCTCCATGAGATAGATTCTCTTCTTGCCCCATTTCTGTAAACAGGAAGACTGACTTGGTAAAGGCCATGGGGTAGTAGGTGGTACAGCTGGAATCCGAGCCCTGGTCTGTTTGATGTCAACGTCTTCAAGCGTAACTCCCTGCTGCACTCCATCCCTGGTGGTCTTGGATCCCAAACCCAGAATCTTTAAAACAAACACCCAAATTCTGGCAGAGGCAGGCCAAGAAGGCAGATAAACAAGCAGGACATTGGCTAGTGGAGAGTCCCCAGGCTCATCTGGGGAGTTTCCACTGCAGGGTCTCCTGACCCTCACCACTAGGCAGCTGATACCATCTGATGGGCACAGCATGGCCGAGTGGTCATGCCACTGGCATCCTCCCCAGCCTGCCCCCACCAGCAGTGTAATCTGCAGAGCATCAGACATCAGCTCCTGGGATCTGAGGGCCCAGCCGCCTGTGACGGAGGAGCTGGGGAAAGAGCCATTATCTTACCAAGGGACAATAGTTGGTCTAGAGGTTGCTGAGGCTGTAAAATGTCAGTCTCTGCATCCCCCTCCCCCTCCACCAGAGTTGAAGGAAGAGGAACTGTTCCCACGGCCCTCCACTGGTATGTGAAATATCCTCCTAACTCTGCTCAGAACATTCAGTAGCTCCCACTGCCCCCCAGACCTTAACCTGGCCTTCAAGTCTCCTCACTCACTGAACAGCAGGATGTCACAGAGAAAGCCCTGGAATGCCAACCCAGAAAATCTTTTTAGTAACACGACCCCCTGAACTCACTGTGTGACCTTGAACAAGTCACTCTCCCTCTTGGACCTCAGTTTCCCTACTTGCTAAGTAAGCCTGTTGAATTAGATGTGTCGCAGGTAGGGAGCAGGGGTTATGGAGTCAGTTGGGACTGGATTTGTAGCCCAGCTTCAGTAGTCTAGCTGTATGGTTTGGAGCCAGTCGTATATCGT